AATTTTTAATAGACTTAATTATAGCCGAAATTTTAACCTTTTTAAAGAGATATCAGTTTTAGAAATTTTATCTTAAGATTTTATACTATAGCACATTTCTAATAGATTTAACGAATTACATGTCATTTATTTGAATTCAAATTTATTTTAAGGACTCAGTATTTACTAAAAAGATGTAATTTTTTTTAGAAAAAAAAGTTGTTATATGGATTTGAATGATTGTTTTGAATTCCTAGAATTTTGTGCATTTACAATGTACCTAAGTTAGTAGCGAGCGAAGCGAGCTTGGTTTGCGAAGCAAACCATATAACATTGCGTTGCAATTTTCGTGGGTTGGCGAGCGTTAGCGAGCAGGGGGCGCAGCCCACTAGTATAGTTTACTTGCACTAAACACAATTCAATGATTGAAAATTTGATTTTATTGCTACTTATTTCTTACATTTGTTTTTAAAATTAAATCAGTTTTAATGGGTACTCTTTTTAACGAATTTTTCTCAGTCAACGAACATCCAGTTCACATTGTGAATTTACACATCTTTTGTGCTCAACTTTTATAACATTTGTATTTATACAAGACTCTAAGGACTAAGGAACCTGTAATTCTTTCCTTATTAAAAGACTAGCTGCTTGCATTCATATTACATAGTATATATTTTAAATCTTAAAACTAATTTCAATATTCGATATATATAGATAAAAAAAATCATAAGTGATACGAAGTGTGTGGTCATATTTTCTGAAATTTAACCTCTCCTCCACAAAGAAATTTCGAAAAATGATACTTACTCAGCTCCTTTTTCTTAATTTAGTGAATAAAAAAAAAATTTTGACGTAAAATTTTGAAATAAATTTTTAGAACACAACCTTTACATAATTAGATAACTTCTTTTTCCAGTTGCAATGAAAATATAATTAAAAATATAGTATAAGCAAATATTTTTAAAAAATGTGCAGCCCATAAAAACAAACACATGCATAACACAGTTTTTTTTCACATCAAAAATCACATTTTTTGCATCATCAAATCATTGCATCAACATTTTGTAAATCAAATTTTTTTACATAAAAAATCAAATTGTGGAAGTGTTAACGAAAAATATTCTGTAAACATGAATCGTAGCAGTATATTATAGAATCATTGTAATGGATAAATAAATAGAGCTTTTATCGCATAGAAATTCACTATCTAATTTAATTTCATTATAAGACCAAAAATCTTTGATATATAACATCTTTCTTTTTTTTTCTTTTATTATGTAAAATTTCGTACTTAGAAATGCTTGTTATCTACTATTAAAATGGAAGCTCAAAATAATAAATTTCTAAGTGTTTCGAAGAAAAAAATTATGTACTGCAAACTTTAGTTAGACTTTGTGGTGCCCCCCTATCCTCTGGTGCCCTAAGCACGTGCTTAGTGTGCTTAATGGTTAATCCGGCTTTGGAATTACTCTCTGGTCTTAAAGGCTACCTTCACAGGCCTTGGTAGCTCGTCAGCACTTATGACTTTGAGCATGCGGTTGCCCAAGGCTTTGCCGTTAAAGTGGCACCTGCTCCACCCAACTGTGATTTCGTTGCACTGTAATACCAACGCTCCTCTTTGGAGGTGGTTACTGTAGATGTCAGGCAGTATTTCGCCACAAGGAATGGCGTCAGTCTGCGCTAAGATCTCCTTAAGAATGTTATTGGAGTCTTCCAAGGAAAGCTTGTCCGGAGGAAAGTCCTCCAGGACCATAGCAATCTTGGTCGACTTGGTAGCACAAGCAAAAGAGACACCAGATTGGAGGCCCCCAGTTGGATCCCCCTCTTCAGCTTGGCTATCCCCACTAGGGGGAACCATTTCTCAGGATTGGGCTATCCTCCCAGGAACAACATCCTCCCTGGGCTTCTTTTCTTTGGTTGGCGCATTTTTTTGGGTTGGCGCATTGGGAGTTGCTTCAGAAGACCTAAATCTCTTAGCTCTGCCACTCGCCGCCATGGCCCTATTTTCCTTATGTGGTGATCTTCAGTTCATCACCACACACATTAAGATAAGAATAAAAATGAATAACAATTAAAAATAATATACTCTTAAGTAAGAGAACAAGATCATTAGAATGATCACTAATTGCAAGGTGTTAAAACTATTTATTTAATATAGATCATTTAAGATATTTAGAGTTACAAATTTTGTTCCAGGAAGGCATTCACTCCAATTAATAATAGGTACATAAAAAATTTAACATGAAATTATACATTATGAAGCTGCACTGCTACTTAATAAATAAATAAAAAATAATTATGGGGTGATAGAAAATTTTATAATATAACTTAGCTGTTGAGGATCCTCATATTTTGTACCACCATCACAAAATAAGTAAGGCTATACTTGCTATTTCTTTTTTTATTTTTGGCTAAATTATTTAAGGGCAGAAAAGGGCAGGTGAAAACTTATGAAAGAGAAACTAAAACTTTAAAGTAATTATAGCAGAGCAGTGCAGCAAAGATAAAAGTAACAAAACATCATAAAAGCAATACCTCATATATATAAAAGTAACAAAACATAAAAGCAATACCATACTTAACTTCTTTTTCCGGCTCTTGGACAATCCAGTGGCACCAGACATACTGTCCCCCGAGTGCCTCTGGGGACCAGAGACTCCTACAGAGGAAGGGCCTGCGCCTTTGGACGCCTCACCAGCTTTTGAAGGAGACTGCAAAGCAACGGTATTAGCACTGGGCTCACCCGAGGTTTTAATGAGGTTTCATCTTGTTATTTTTGCAAGATTAAGTTGTGATTATTACCCTGTAAGATTCACTTTATTTCGAAGGTAGTGGATTTAACCCTCATTAACATGACTTATCAATTGTTTATCAGGTTTTTATTATTATTTTTGTTATTATTATTATTAGTGTTCTGTCATTTAGTTTTAAGAAAATTATCCTTGTATAATAAATACATGGATATTTTGTATTTTCATTGCAGTTGTCCTCCTCGAACATTCCTTCCTGCCCTGTGTAGGATATTTTTAGATGAATGTGCTCCAGATAATGTATTAGAAGTAACTGCTCGAGCAATCACTTATTATTTGGATGTATCAGCAGAATGTACTCGTCGTATTGTAGCTGTTGATGGAGCAATAAAAGCTATCTGTAATCGTTTAGTTGTGGCTGATGTATCATCTAGAGCATCCAAAGATTTAGCTGAACAATGTATTAAGGTAACAAAAGAGTTATTTGTCTAATGTCTTAACTACAATTAATTAGATCTTCAGGCATAAAACGTAGATTGTTAATTTAACATTTAAATATTTTATTATTTTTTGCTATTTGAGTTATAAAACTTTACTTTTAAAATTTAACTATTTAGTATTTGGTTTAAAAAAAATGGGGACTTTTTTCAAATGATCTGGTAAAGCCTTAGAGGAGTAATTTATGTAGAGAGAACCAGTCCCCCATCCCTGTTTGCAAAGAACATTGCCACATGATTCCTGGACGATTTTTCCTCCAGTTAACCCTATCCCCAGTCTTTTACTATGGAGGTGGATTGATGAGCTGTGTTTTGAACTCTAAAGTTAAAAAAAAAAAATGGTGGTGTATTGCTGTGAATATGGATGTAAGGAAAAATTCATTAAAGGAGGACTTTTTACATGTCACAAATAAGATTTTTATTCTTTTATATTCACTTATAAACATTTACTTGCAATTTGCATGTTAGCACGTCAGGTTATGGAATGAATTGGTTTTTAACTAGCAAAATAGCTATTATTTTTTAATATTTTTATTGAAATCAATAGATTATAATGTAGTTGACATTTATAGGTATTTTCATTACAATTAAATTTCATTTTGATATAAATATTCTGATATTTTTACTCTTTACGCGAATTTTTTTCACGCCAATGTTTACCAACAAATCGCTTTTTATTTTCGCTCTGTAACTTATAATGATGTGTTGAAGTAATTTTTTTAATAATTTCAAGCGAATTTAATTACAGTAGGGAACCGATTATCTGGAACAATTGGGACCATCGCTATTCCAGATAACTGATTTTTCCAGTTTTCTGAATCGCTACAAAAAGCCATTTTTTTATTGTTAAACCCAACTAAAAAAAAAAATTTTTTTTTTTGGAAATAATCTTAAAAAGAAGAAAAAACGATGAAGTTATACACTAATGATTATTTCCAAAATGTTGGTAAGGTGAACGTCTTTCAAAAAAGAAAGAAAAATCCTAAGATCTTATGAGGAAAAAAACATTTTTTAAAAAAAATGGCGGGAAAATGTATCGAATTTCGTTCCGGTTTTTTGGTTTTCCGGTTTTCTGATTTCCGGATAACGGGTTCTGTACTGTATATACTTTAGTTGTACAGACTTAAAAAGATATGAAAGTATATTTCATATAAAAAAAATTTTTTGGATCAAAAATAAAATTATCTTTTAAAAATTCCGTTATTAAATAAAATTCATAAGCCGAAGAATACTTTTTTTATTATATAGGAAAAATTGTTTGGATATTCATATTTATTTAGGAAGTTTTATATTTATTACTGTACATTTATTATTCAGGAAAATATTAACTAGGTTATTATAGGTTCTATTGTTAATAATAGGCCCTATTATTAAATAATTGTTATAGGATTGTCAAAAGTGTGGCTATTTATTATTATTATTATTATTATCTGTATTTTATTTTGATTTCTAGGAATGAAAAAGGAATAATTCTTTTTTTGAATATCAATTAATTTTTTTAATATAAAATGCTAAGTAAGCAGAGAACTATCAATGTTTCAAACAGCAGGTAGATAGTATGTTCTTATATGGAATTTCGTAATACTTTTTTTTTTTAATTAAAATTAAGTGACAAATAACAAAACCAAAATTTGTTATTTTAATTTAAATACTTTCATCATATTATGTTAACTCTTTAAAATTTTAATTGTATGCATTGGTTGTAATAAATTATTATCGCATGGCAGGAAAACTGGAATCCCAAATTGTGCAGCACGTAGAAATACTAACATTTATTTTAAAAATAAAACAAAATATTTTGTTTTCATCAGATATATATACATATATATATCTATCTATCTATATAAATATATATATGTATATATATATATATAGCACGATAAAAACAAAACCGAACAAAAACAGAAACAAAAAGAAAACGAAAGTAAGTTAATAGTAGATAATATCAAGCGCTAAAGCTGCTTTAAATAGGATCACTATAACATAGCACAATAAAAACAAAGAGAAAAACGAAGAAAATTAATAAGTTTTATTATAAGCGGATATAATCGTGTGGGCTGATGAAGAGATTATATCTTTTCTTTATTTTGTTTTCCGGATTTTTAATATTTTTTTTATTTTTAGATATCAAAAATTATATATATTTTTTTAAATACTTTTGAAAAATATTTTTAATAATTTTCTTCTCTTGTCATTATTTTTTATTATTTTCCATATTTTCTTAATNAATACGAGAAACAGGTCATAGTCCTTAAGTTCCTATATATATATATATATACACACATTTATTTGAATAAAAAAATTAAAAATGCCATTTTAGTTCTCCTGTGAAATTTTTTTATTATATGTAACCTAAATAAGAAAAATTATGCATGGATTAAAATTAATTCTAAAAGGCTTTCATTGTAAGGTATGTATAAATGTTAGGGAAGCATGTTTTAAAAGTTTAATTAAATATTTTTATAATAAAAATTTAAAAAAAAAAGAAGATAAATAAAGTATTAACAATTCTTTAAGAAAAGCATTTCCACAATAGCCCGTTGAGTGCCTGAAAGTCATGAAGATTAAGCTTGCACAATTTAATGATCACCAGTCATAATAGTGACAATGTGGTTCGCATTGCGTACCATCCACCTTTACTTCATGGACAAGCTGACTCATCAATCTGAACCTGAATTAATAATTCTTCTTTATACTAATAGAAGACACACATTTTCTTTTAAATTACTTTGTTTTTTAGTAACAATTTACATAATTATTTAGGTCAAATATAAATTTTTTTAATACTAATTTTTTATTCACACCTATTCTACATTTTAAAAATCAGATACTGAATGTGTAGTGTATTATGAAATTTTTAAAATCATTTCAGCTAATAGTTTCAACTTCAATTTAATTTAAAGAAAATTATTACGTATTTTTCAGCATTTTGCTTTATTAGTTTATTTATCAAATAATAATTTTAAAACCACCCAATATTAATAATTAACTGTTTATACGTAGATTTCCTAAAGACGAGATAAGACAAAAACTATGGGAAGTAAATGTCCACAGAGAAGAATTCGCAGCATCCAATAATAGTGTGTTATGCTCTAAGCATTAGGGCTGGGCGATATAGAAATTTCTTAAATCGATATAATCAACCCTTTTATATCGCGGTATTAGGTTATATCGATTTAACAATCTAAACGACAAAGCTAAGAAATAAATCCACAGTACCCCTTCCTCTATTCAAATGTATTGTTTTTTTTTTCTTAACTCACTTACAGTCAACTCCTAGTCCACAGAAATTTTGACAAAGTTGTTCTGATTATGAATAATTTTTTGCAGATATTCAAAAGCTTATTTAAATACTACAATTTACTAATTTTACTCTGTAACTTTTCACTAAAGGTATTGGAGAATATTGTTTACCTTTTTCTTTTGCATTTATTTTATTAGTAAAAAAAATTAAAAACTTTCACTTTCTCTGTACATATATAAATAACTATACATTAATATTTTTATTGAAAATATGCTTAAATGAACTAAGACTAGTTTAAAATTCATCATCATGCCTGCGCCCTAGTTTTTAGATTGCACCTGGAAATTTCCCATTCCTATCATAATTTTTTTACTTTAATAAAAAATATACTTTGTAA